GATCTAATTAAATGGCGGAACAGACTCGAAGAGCTAAACGGCCTCCCCCTGTTGCTATGGTCCTATGTTCCATACAATATATAAGCAAAGTAAGAACAGTGGGTCTAAGAAAAGCATGTTACTGTTTTTCCATTGTACAGTACAGTACATCTCTCTTGTTTATAATGTATAGAGAGTGACTTTACAGAAACAGAATGTTCTCACATAACCCTTTCAGCCGGAGGCACCCTGTTTTCACTCCCTTATGGGTTTCTGTGGTAAACTGACAGCTGAGAGCAGCACAATCTAAACTCATAGAAAGGGCGTTAAAGGTGATCATGACATCAGCCCAATAAACATTAAAGAAACAAGCTACAGTTAATTACAGGTATGGTAGCGCATCATGATGTTCAATCATGGAAGATGGTTCTCAAAATGACTGAGGAGAAAAAAGATTGTTACCCACTTTCATCAGTCACATCACATGCTTTCAAATTTCTCCCCCTTCCTGAAGGCAAAAACATTTGTTGGCACACAGTTTTGCAGGTGCCAGATGCTATCACGTTGCCTCACCCAAGTATTCATTCCTCTTGAATGAGCATAGACACTGCGTGTTGACTGGCAATCCACGCCCATGAAGGGTGTCACACCCAAGGCTGATCCTGTTATGATCTGATGCCCACACACACACACACAGGCGTCATAACCTGGGCCGATAGAAAAGTGAGGGTGCCCTTTCTCCGCATTTTCCATCTCAACGTCCCTTGTCTGCTACAAACCCGCTACAACCAGCCCCTCTGGTACTAATCTTTACACACAGTGCGCTAGGCCCCAGGCCGCTCACGCTGTTTGCTCAATGTCGCTACTTTGGCCGGAGCAGCTCCGATCGTGCAAGCGCGACGTGTGCGGGAAACAGATTTCGCTGGAGAGTGAACCTCGATAGGAAAAGCAGCTGCGTCACACACTACTGTCCTGCGACACATTCGTGGTAAGTGCTGTGCTGTTCAAATATTCAGTATTTTAAGCATAACTACATTTTCAGGAAATATACACCTATAGTTTGTGGTCAGGGGTGTACAATGCAAAAATGTCCAAATGTTTTGTAAATCCCGTGAGGAAGCCAAGGGGCAACACGTCTCATTTTCCGTCTGTCCCTCAGATAGAATTGTACTCTGTCCAGATGACCTTTATGAAGACAGTGGGCACTGGTTTTGCCGCATTTGCTGTCACACAATTGACCATGTTTGCAAGTAAACTATTGACGAGCACATGAAATCTCGGAAACTTTGCGAACACAAGGCAGCGGCAATAAAGATCAAAATTAAGGTAAAATACTTTTGACATACATAATATTAAATGAAAATGTATCATTATTTGCTTTCACTTTAATTTTGAAGGAAAATCTTAATTTGTATGATTACAAAAGTTGATCCCCCTCCTTTTTGATTGAATTTTCAACGCACATGAAACCACCACAGGAAACAATATACGAATGGACAGAACATTTCTAACGACAAATCCTTTATGAAGATCAATTTTTATCTTTTCCTGTCTTTTCTGGGATCTCAAAGGTAACTTGCTCTGACAACCTGCTCCTCTAGAGCCACTGCACCATTAATGGGGAGGAAATAATTCATATTGGACTTTATGCGATGTTTGACTAGAGCAGACATCCCGCTTGAAAAAGCTCCTGCCTTCCAAGAGTTTCCATGCAAGTACACAACATTGTGAGGGACTTCTTCAACACCATCAAAGCTTCGTAATACATACTTGAAAGAGCTTATTCCTGAGCATGAAACATTTTTGAGGAAACATTGATTTTGAAAAAATTAATTTCTCTGCAAACCGTGTGGAAACTGCACTTGTGAATCTTTTGAAAGGTGCTATGTTCTGTTTTTGTTGAAGAAAACATTAATACATTTTTTTCTATCAATCTAGGATGCGTTATTTCTTCATGTTTAGTTTTTAAAAATGAGAAAAGGGAAAAAGTGTAGGTTAGTAACAAAGTGCGTCTCTCAATAGCACCAATCAGCCCTCCACAATTCCCTGTAAAATCAAGCAAATTCCTCTGCAAAACCAGCAAATCGCTCCGCATTTTTGGGCAAATATTTCCACCTTTTCTATTGGCTAAGGTCATGACATAGCCCTAACTGAGCTCAGCTATCTCAGCACAGAATATTAATCAAACCAATGACCGTTTGGTGAGAGAGATAGAAGGGGAAGGTGAGAGAGAAAGATTGTGAGAGGGTGGGCGGGAGAAGGGGATGTGTGTGTGTGAGAAGGTGGGGGAATGTGACCAATGACCTTTTGCTCTTTATGGCACAATTCTACAACAAACCGTGACTTTAACTTCTTGTATAGAGGGTGCTTCCATCACATTCTCCTGATGCATTTCTGCAGCAGCATGGGATATTATAGCTGGAAAAAGGTGTCAGAAACATCACTGGCATTCAGTGAAGTGTGAAGGCAGTGTTGACAAAACTTGAAAAATACCTCTGAGATCTTCACGATGTAAAACCACACAGTGAGCCTGTTGTTGCTCGTGTGAAAGTGTTGATTAAAATCAGCTGACGGTGAAAACATGTGGCTTTGAACACTCATCATTTCCAACATAGCACCTAGAAAAGAACAGATTTTAAACAAAACTCAGGTGACAAAAATATTACTATTTATTACTGCAAGCAGACATTCGTGTGTAAGAGCTATTAGACTTATTGAACTCACCTTTATATAAACTAATACAACTCACTCCATTGATTCTAAAAAAAATCAAAATAACCTATAATTGGGAATGATCATGAGGTATTCAGCTAACCAAGAAGTTCAACTTTTTTATACAGAGCAAGTACATCTTGGAGCAGCAACAGCTCCTAACTTCAACAAGGGGGGAGGCTTAAAAGCAAAATTTGGGCTAATATCCCAAACCGCAAAAGAGATTATGATTCCATGGTGATAGCCTGGGCCAATAGAAAAGTGCAGCTGCACGTTTTCCGCAGAATCCGCTATAAATAACCCTCCACTAAAAAAACCCGCTATAAATGAAGTTTCAGAGGGCCAGATGCAGAGGGCTGCTGAGGGCCAGCTGCCAGATTTGAGAAATGTCTGCGGGCTCCATAAGCAATATTTTTGTGTTTCCCTTCCAGAAAAATAACCTGTAAGAATCCTATAGAAATCCTATTTTTGAAATTGTCTAACCGTATTACTTAATTTTACTATATTTTAGTTACAATGCTAACTTTAAATTGACAATGTAAAAATACAAATTTTAAAACAATGATACAGCCAGTGATGAGGCATCTGTCTCTGTGTCTCTCGCTGTATCTGTGTATGTCTCCATATCTCTCTCTCTCTGTATCTCTCTCTCTGTCTATGTGTCTCTGTATCTCGCTTTCTATGTCCCTGTCCATCTGTCTGTATCTCGGTGTGTGTGTCCCTGTATTTCTGTCTGACCATCTGTCTGCATTTCTCGTTCTGTCTGTGTGTTTGTCTCAGTATCTCTCCTTCTGTCTGTGTGTCTTTCTATGTGTGTCTGTTTGTTTCTCGTGTGTATGCGTTTCTTTCTGTATGTTTGTGTGTGTTTGTGTGTCTCTCTATCTTTCTGTCTGTCTGAGTGCGTCTCTCTCCTGTTACTGGGTTGAAAGTGGTTGACAGGTTCTGCTGCTAACTGCTGCCTTGCACTGCTGTTTTTCTCACCAGGTCAGACCAAGCCTGGGCACGCTGTTCACAGGCCAGATTAAATCATCCCCCGGGATGGATGTGGCCCGTGGGATGCCAGACGGGCCACCCTGACTCTGAACTCAACTGGTCTGGTAATGCAGCCAGATAGTATATTAGACTTGTTTATTGCTGCCTCAAACGGTTTGGACATCATGAGAGATGAGTCATCTAACACTTCTTGGTCTCTTTCAAAATCCCCTCGGCAACTTCTATCCCATCCACCTGGTACATAGACATCCTACAATTATTTCCAATATGTAGTAATTTGCATTTATCTATACATAACCTAATTTGTCGATGATTAACTCAAGAAGCCTAACCTCATTGTTAATCCTGGCACTTCCCCTTTGCTTGGTATCAACTGCAAATTTAACTTCCTTGCTCTAAGTTCAGAAATTCAAGTAATTTATTTGCTCCATCCAAACCATTTAACTTGGTTTGAACAGAATATACCAATTTAGCACAACTAGATGCTCCTTAGAATTAATCCCTGCAGATTTTTAGCATCTTCTTTACTTTTTTTAATGGATAAAATAGATTGACCTTGTCTTGCCTACCTCTGGCCTGGCAACCTTAGGCTGGAATGAATTTTTGCTGGAAGTTGCTTCATTTGGAACCCTGGAGCTTGTCGCATCCAATAGTAATTGTTGGTTGTGTTACTGCATTCTTAATTGGATATGTTTATTTTCCAGTATACAATGGAAGCAAGAGAAAGGAGAGGCTGTGAACTTAGGAACTCTGAAAAAAGAAGAAAACCAAGGAGAAGCACAACTGTGTATTACTCATTGGGGAAGAATGCTTTAAAAACGGAGACAGTGGATACTTCTGATGAGTGGTTTGAAAAGCATGAAAACCACAATATCCAGAAGCATTTCAAATATTATTTAGATCATTTCATGAACTAAATTGAAGTCAAGAATTTACTTCTAACAATATTAATTTATGCAACACTGAATGAAAAATAAAGTTACCCTGCATATCCATTGCAAATGATGTTACAGAGAGTATTACACCCTTCAACTCTCCTTACGGCTTACATCTTCATCTCCAACTCTGCCTTCGTTTACTGCAGATATGCTTAGATTTTTGTTAGGAATAATTTCTTTTGGAGCTTGTTCAGCTTCAGGGAGCCCTAATTTCAAAACCAATCAAACCAATTTGAAACCAGGAAATGAGAATCTGTATTTTCATCAGACCTTGGACATTAGAACTGATCCTGAAACACTCAGGCAAAATTAATACATTTCCAATTTGGATTAATAAAGCAGGGTTAAAGATACTGTAAGAATACATTGTGAAACTCATTCCAAACTTAATCACTTTATTCATATATTATCAACATTTTTTGCACTTTTGAGATGCCTGAAAGGTAACCATTTATCTATAATAAGAGCGGTCATGTTACCTTTAAGTTACAATTGTGCACCAGGACAAAAGTTTTCAAAAGAGTGGGATGGAGCAAGTGATCATTTGCAGCATCCTCACTTCAGAACTTGTGTGGTTTTTTTATAAAACACAGCATGCTCAAAATGTATTGACTCAACTTTATTCATTAAAATACAAGCTGGATTGCCCATGTGCTCGTATGTGCAGTAATAAGCTCCTTAAGATGATATCACGAACATTTATGGGGATGGAACTGATGCTAACAACACTAATGAAACCAAAATATGACATCAGTAGCCTAATACCATGTTGATCAACCATTCATTTCATCTCAAAGCACTTCACAGGATTTACTGCAAAGTGTTATGATTGTACATCTTTAGGTGAACGCCGCAGTCAATTTGCATACAGCAATGTGGGATCTTAAAATTACACCTGAACAAGCAGGTGGAACCTTACGTGAAAATGTCATCCAAACATTGCATCTTCAAAAATGTAGCACTGCCCCAGTATAGTATACTATAGCATTGGAGTGCTTGTCCACACTGTGAGTTCAAAGTCCCAAAGAGGGGCATGAACCCACAATCTTCTGACAAAGAGGTGAGAGTGGTACCAAGCGAATGCAACCAACACTCAAGTTCTCCAATGAAGAAAATTAGAGCATGGTTTACTGGTCACTAATATTTACCAGATTCATTAAAACATAATTATAACAACTCTAAAGAATAGCTAACAATTATAAATACAAATATGAGACTCAAAAGGAGCATGGCTACAGTGAGGATCACATTCCTTTTTTTCTAAGAACGCTCATAAGAAAACATTTCAGAATGTAGTAAGACTGCTACTCTGATAAACAAAATAGTTATCCTAAAATTGGATAAGAGAACTGTGGTTGCCAATCCATGTCTTTTTTAATTTTTTCCAAAAAATAAGGTATGGACACAATAGAAGCAAACTGTAATACAGTGAAATTCAATTCACTGAATACTAAATCTTACATGGAAAATTATTCAATAAACCAAACTATTCATATAACCAGATTAAATATAAGAGGAGACTCATCTCCCAGAGCTCTAAATTCTATTCAATAAACCAAACTAGTCAATTATCAGATATTCAGTTAACCAAATTTCACTGTAATGTTTTATATGGAGCATTTCCATAAAGTTAACATCAATTCAAAGAATATCTCACTTTAGTCTCTATACGTAAATAACAATATACATCACATTTTCGAAAGTGGTGAACATTTTGAGTAAAAAATCTCTTAAGAAAGGATGTGGAAGTTCATGTATTTTCCTCTCCTCTCTTTCCAATGCACAGATTAAATTATTGGCTTCAGTAACTCTTTTCATGTTGGTTTCACATATTCTACTCTGGTTTTGCATATTGCTTATCAAGCAATGTTCATCTTTGCACACTTACAATCAGTGTCTACTGTGGAGATGAATTTGCAGGAATATAATCAACTATTATGTGAACAGTATGAAAATTCCAAAGATAAGACCTCGCCATTTCTATGTTTGTTGAACAAACTATCTTGTATAAAAATGTGTATGCAGAGAATAAACACTTCCCTAAACCCTTTGTATTATTTTACAAGCCACAGCAACCTCTTCTTCAGACAGGCAGTCCATCAAAAATCCCTTAGCATTTTGAGACAGTCATAGCAGAGAATGAAATTGGATTTGTGGTGCTTCAAGCTATGAAAGAGCAAAATATGTTCCACCATATTCCTATAAGCTCTATCTTACAAATAATGTTTATTGATGTATTTCAGTCTTATTTTGTGTTGATCTATTGGTTAATGGGTCTTCCTCGCCATCACCTCACTATTCTATGTCTGCTAGCACTGGAGAAATATTTGAATTTTGTACTCCTCCAAGTGAAGGATGTTAATGCTGGGAAATGAAGTACATTCCCACTCAGCATCTAATGTTTACAGGTACACAACAGTGAGATGCCAAGCAAAGCTCTCTCTATTCTGCTCAACAATTTGTCTCAGGAGACTAACCCTTAATGCATCAGTGACATATTCCATTTCCCACTCCCTCTGTGGATGGTGGCTGTGAGTGAGATTGTAAATCAATCCTGAATAAAAGCACAAAATAATTTTTTTGTGCTGTAAATCTATACCAACACTACATCAAAATTATTTTATATCTTATAGGCAAAATACAAAGAAAATCATCCATGTAGGTTGGGTTCAAATCTAGATCTTGGAGATGAAAGCCCAGGGTCTAATTCACTCGATCATCTAATCACCCACAACAAGTTGTGCAGTAAAAAGAAACTCAATGAAGCAGGAAACATCTAATGGTTCAAATATTTTTCTTGACCGTGAGGATTATGGGAAATGTAACAGAGCAAACCTCCAATGTAAATGAAACATATGGAGAGCAATTCCATGTGTCTAAATTTGCTGCATTTATGTAGCATATTCAAGCATCCAGAATTTGGCAAATTCTTCAAATCAGCCTTGATTTTGAAGACTGTGCTCTGTAAAAATTTTTAAGAATGTACAGAAAAACAAATCCGGAAGCATCAAGTGTATGAGATGGCTAGCTTTACTTTCTGTCAAAAAACAACACCAACAACAACGACTAAATGGGACAGTATCATAATGACTATTACTAGATCAGCTAACACCACTGGTTCATTGGAAATTGGGGAAGTAATCCAGTGAGCATGAATTATTTTTGTCTTTCAAAACATGGATCAACTTATTTTCTTTGTGTTCGTCTGCACAACTAATTCTTCATAATGGTGAATGTAAATAAGTAAAATTGTGGAAGAGCACAGAATGAAGGAGTATCATCCCAATTTTTGGAATAAACTAAAATAATGTTTTGTGGTTTTATTCTGCTGCAGTAAATCCTTATTATTGTCAGAGAGTGAACACTCCTCTCATCTTGCTTTCAGACACAGGTTAATGCAGAATGGATGGAAATAAAAAGAAGGATGGAACAAAATAATGTAGGATTCTGACACCCTAATCTGACTCAACCTAAGAGTTAGCATTGGTGATTAAATTATATATAGTTCAAGAACAAAGAATTATATGGTCTCAAGCAAACTTGGAATGCACTGTAAAGTCCACAAAAAGCAGACATGATATTTGCTGGTCTTCTTAAGAACAAACAGATACTTTCAGAGCAGAAATTCAACATTCAGTTGGTGTTTAGAGTGTTCCTTTCTTGGAGGATGATCAATTAAACACACTGGAGGTGCAATGATAACTGTTCTGGATCATGTTTGCTCGGTTCCTCTTCAATTATTGCATCATAATAGTTTTAGTTTTTTAAATTATAGACATCACACCACACTTTGTCGACTCATCTCTCTGCTGTACGGTGGCGTCTCAGAACATCGGTGACCAAAATCAATAAAGATCCCTTCTGGCTCTGTGCCCATTGATTCCAAGATGTGGTCCACTCTGGTTTCAGGGCTGGAAGATGCTGCTGGTATCAGAGAAGCACTATTTGATAACTTAAAGGTGTTGTCTCGAACATCCCTGGGTGCTTGGACATGATAAAGATCCTGCTGCTGACCGATAAGTTTGCTCATGGTTTTGCTTTGTCGGAGTTCTTGGTCTTGCTCTCCTGACAGGTGAGTCTGTGTTGTTGCTGCAGACATAGCAGATCCTGGGTCCACAGTGGCATTTAAATACCCTTCAGACTCCATGCAAGTTGTCATTTCTGACACAGAGTGCCGCCTCACCCCCATGCTGTTGGCCAGGCTTCCTTCACTTTCGTACTCTTCGACAGGGCTCAGCATGGGATTGTTGTAGCTCTTTGAGCGCACCACTGGATTCTTTGTTAAAATGTCATTTGACTTGGAGCCACATGGGGATAATCTCTTCTCTGCCAAATTAAAATAGACATATTAATAATAAAGAGAAAAAAAAATTAAGTCAAAGGAAGTAAAACTGTAAATATTGGAAATCTAAAATAAAAGAGATTGCTAGAAACGCACAGAAGTCAACGGGTGTCCAAGAAAGACAGGCCTATGTTTCTGTGACTCTTTATTAGAATTGCGATGAATGGGCTCCGACCCATCAGCTGCCTATCTGTGTACATAGTTGACAGTTTTACATTATTAACTTCCTCCTGATGTTTTTGTTTTCTGTTCTGATCCTAACTGCACTCTTTACTGCCATAAATGGCTTCCCAATCCAATCAATTCCATTCTCACAGCGAGGCACATGTGTAAGCATTATTTCTTGCAGCTGCTGATTTACATTCTCTGCACTGCCACTAAAAATAATTTAAAACTAAAAGTTAACAATGTTGAGAGTAGTTTCTTGCTGATGTTAGTAAGCACACCCAAATTTTTTTGTCTTTTTGTGCAAGCCCTTTCAACGAGTCATTCTCGTAATATCATTCAACAACACGATTCTCAGCATGTTGAAATAGTTCATTAGTTGTAGAAAGGTTCTTACCCAAAAAACACACTGAGTGTGAAACCTGTTCATCGTCTATGTGCAGACCATATGTTCCCAGGTATGGCGACACCACTTTCTGTATCAGCAGTTCGAGTCGCAGGTAGTCCCCTGTCACACCCTTAGATTCATGTACACCCTGAAACAAAAGCAAAATAGCATTACGTTCATTTTATGGCTTCATCTTTTAAGACTTGTATATCAAGCTTTCTCCAATCACGAGGCCACAGTAGCTCACATGCCAGCGAATCCAAGCACCAGCGCCATGAAGCATATCTGCACAACTTAAGTCGCACCTGTCTGATTCTCTACTGTCTGCAAGTATGCAATGCCCATATTTGAAAGTGAATTCTGCGGAGATGAGAGATACAGAGAGAACAGTGTGCGAGAGGCAAGTCAGAGAGTATTACATTAAATTAATTTGGTTTGTGTCAGTCAAGTTTCCAGTTGATAGAAGTCCACAAAACAATGAACTTGAGGCAAAAGAGTGTTTCACATTGGAAATTTAAACAATTTAATAAGTACCATAATTGTCAAAGATTGGAATACGCACAATGTTTGGCACCATTTAATACTACATCTAATTTGGGCAGATGCAGCACAGTGCTGCTTATGGACTTGAGTATGAAGAAGTATGAAGATTCGTCTTCACAATCATTCTTCACCTTAATGTGCTCAAAATTAGTAGAAACAACAGTAACAACAGCAGCTTGGATTTATATAGCATCCTCTTTGCGGAATCATATCTCGGAGTGCTTAACACTTGATACCGAGCTGGGGTAGAGGGTAGGTGACTGCAGGCATGGTCAAAGAGAATGGTCTAAAGGTGGTGGGAGTAACCCTGAAGAAAAGCCATGCAAATAGCATGCAATAAGAAGCATGTCCACACATATCTGGGTCTATAAAGGGCCAGGGAGTCTAGTCCTGGCCCACACATTACAGAGTCCTGGTGTGCTCTGAGAGAAGGGAATGAAGCTGCTGTTACCTCTAACCAACTGGTGTAAAGAGTTTGCTGGGTTATAACAAGATTGCTGCAGGCAGAGAACAGTGAGTCTCAAGAGGTGTAGTTTAGGGTTCTGATAGTCAAAACAGTGTGTCCTTAGCACAAGGCTTTATGTATGTGAAGTAGAGTTTGAATTTTGGTTACAGATCATGTCTGTTGAATTATTATGATGCCAAGACGTGGACAATGTGCAATACAACTCAACAAAACCCAGAACAACAACAACAAATTTCACTTGTATAGCGCCCTTGTCATCGGAAAGAGGTCCCAGGGTGTTGGACAGTCGGGGGTTTTAGGACCCGAGCTGGGAGTTGGAGTCAGGAGGAGTGAAGGGCGGGGGTGGGAAGGTGGCCTAAGGTACGGTCGAAGAGGAAGGTCTTTAACCAGAAGAGGAAGGTCTTTAAAACAAGTGAAAATGAGGTACAGATTTTGTAAAATTTGCATGGCTCTTAACTGGTACAAAATACGTGTAACTACCAGCAACATCCTTCCTGTTTCTTATTTCTCTTTCTGCATCCTGTTGGAACGATGGGTGGGTCTGAAGGTGGCTTTGTCATTTGACTGTGGCCAACATTTTAAACCACTCAAAGAATGTCACATGTCATGCATTTTCCAGTACCAGTATTATATGAAATCTTGCAAAGTTTACTTAGCAAGATTCTTATTCATGCTTAAAACCATAGTTTATTGCATTGGAATACTGCTTTTTAATTCCTCAGAGAAGCTATTTTTGCAGTTGATTATGGGCAGTATGACATGTTTCAACAGAAAGATCTGTTTAGAAAGAAGAGCTAAATCTTGACCAGTGAATTCAAAATAGACCCGGGACTAAACCTGGCATCGTCCTGGTCTGTATGTAATTCAGTTCTTATTCTTTTAGGAAATAACATTATGGGATATAGCACATAGATAGTTCGGGACATATATTCATGCAACCACCAGGAAGGTGGAAGGCAAACTAGATGAACCTTGGTCTTTTTTTCTGCTAGCATTTCTTATGTTCTTATGTTGTTATGTATGGCTTCTTGTCCTGTTACACAAAACGGCAACCAATTGAGTTTTTTTTTCAAATAGTCATGTATTAGATGTGTATATTTCATAGAACAATGTATGAATCAAGGTGAGAACAGTGTTGTGCATTAATCTATATTGCAGGGACATGGTATTAAATTGAAAGCTGATATAGTTCAGGAGTTTGTTTTTAAAGACTGTGCTCTGGTTGCTGCACCATCTCCGTGGTGAAGTTGCTGCATCTACTGCAATGTGAATTTTTCTAATGTGGTTTTTCTTTCCCTTCCTTTCAACAGTTTCCTTTCAACCAAGATAACAATTAGCATTAAACACATATAGTTCATCTATTAACCTCAATCTACGTACATGGAACAAGTGTCCGGAAAGACACTACCACAGTAACCCCACCCTTTTCATGAATTCATTCCACTCAATCATACTTCATCTTCTTGCAGCATAATTCAGCCCATGATACATAAACTATTGCCTTCAGTCTTCTTCCCACAGCTCAAAAACACATCCCTACCTATTGAGCAATGCTTCCAACAATTGGAATTGTGGAACTTCAGCATCAGCTGTTCACTTCTCTGCATACCAATCAAGATGGATTCTTGATTGATATGCAGATAACCCCTCGATATATAAGCTTGTATTCATGAACTGAGACTCCAAATAACACCTTCCAGAAGCTGTTGTCCCCAGCTTCAGAGTTTTCTTATTATCTATTTGATGGATACTAGCCTTTAGCATAGTGGGCAGACCAACACAACAACGTTTTCTAGGGGTCCAAATCCAATGCCCTGTACCAGCCTTACTCAACAGCAACTGCTAAACACAGGTCCTCATATGTGAGGCCTTGGCAAAGAATGTGCCCATTGTGAAGCCAACTCTGCCTCCAGGGTACTGAGTGACAGGTTGGTGCAGGTGGCAACCCTCCTCCCTGGCACCACTTCTACTTTTTACATTAATCATTCTCATTACTTGAATGGAAAAATTCTACAGGAGCTTTGAACCATGAAGGAGAACAACAACAACAACCAGATTATATTTGTATAGCGCCTTTCATGTCGGGAGGACGTCCCAAGGCGCTGGACAGTGTACAGCATTTCAGAACTATGAAGAGTACATGTCTTATCACATACAAGTTTGACCTGCATTGGGATTTTGTTATCACTGAAGAGAGATAATAATAATAATATTAATCCTTGCATTCAGTATAGCGCCTTATCACGTCTTCGAGACACCTCAAAGCGCTTCACAGAATATATTGCAAAGTGAATTGACTGTATATTTTGTGGGCAAAATGTGGCACAGCAATGTCCCACAAACAGTCGTGGATTAAGTGACCAATTTTTTTAAAGCAATTATTATCCCCAGAAAAGTGATCCACCAATCGACTAACAACCAAGTTCCTACTTATTGCTCGGTAAATAGGGGCATGTGGAGTAAGGAAACTTGCCCAACATTTCGCCCTGCCTGGGAATTGAACCCAGGTCTCTCGCTTGTGAGGCGAGCACTCTAACCACTGAGCTACAGGACTTCACTATAAGAATAACTAGAGTGTCCCTTTCAGCATGGTCCCAAAGGAGAGTGATCAAGCAAGTTGGTCCCACCAAAATTCCTAGATTTTGGTGGGCTGATGTGAATTATTAATTGGTTTCTGAATAATGAAAATAAATTATTCTTGCTTCCTGAATATAATGACATGGTTAAAATAATTCTCCAATTGTGTGAATTCTCCAATAGTATGATTGTTGACTTTTTTAAACCAATCGTTCTCTGAAATAATTTTTATATCTTTGTAAAAGACTACATTTTAATACTTCTAACACAAGGTCACCAGCTGACTGCCAAATCCGGGGCAGAATCAATTTTTTTTCTGATGAATTATGCAGGCAGGCAGCAATGTTTGCCATCTTCAGCAAAATTGTTCTGCAGCTGCCAGATTAGTACTTTGTAAACATACCATGGCAGCATGGTTATAAAGTAAGAATGGCAACCAAAAGTCAAATAGGATCATTGCTCTTCTATTCCTCTGAAATTTGCTCACATAAAGTACTTAAATGATCTGATGCAGGAACAGTACAACAGTCTTTGATGCTAACACATGGAGAAGCCAACAGGCTTCTGGTAAGCAACTGTTTGTCTGCTGGTAAACAAAGCAATTTGGATTTCAAAAAGCCAAGTACTCAGTCTCAAATCAATGTTGCAAATAGCCCAGATTAAACTTGGTTTTTTAAATGGTTCAGTAGGTGTTCATCTTAACAGGAAATGCCTCTAGCAACGTTCACAGCTGAACAGGCAGAAGTGGTGTTTAAATTCTTAACTGATCTGGACCAGGCTAACCTGGCAACCAATCTAAAGAGATTTGAATGTGATTTGGGAATAACTTCACAGGTCATTTTCTCATTTCTAAATAATTAATGTTTTATGGAAATTAAGTCGGATAAAATCAAGATAAAACTCCATGTGGACTGTATGAGAAACACTTAGTAACATCCTGTGAACAGCAATCATTTGCATTTATATAGCACCCTTCACATAAGATAAGGTCTTCGAGAACTGTCCTTCCAGCTCAGAGACACTGAGACCAATTTTAGTTCCCATCCCAGTTAAAAACAGCAAATTCAGTTTGAACCTGGGATCTGTGTTTCGACCTGCTATGATGTGAAGTTGCTTCAGAAAGGTCCAGAAAATCATAAAAATTAAGATAATTCTACTATCCCATATGAGCGGATTTGAATTAAAAGCAATGGCATGGTAATAATAATAATAATGCTCCTGGCATTTGATGCCTGGATTGATTTACACAACAAAAAGTATTGCTATATTCACGTAGGTCCCATTGTTTTGTAATTCAACTGAATAAATAATGCAAACAGGGCTAAGTCCAAAGTCCTGTAAGACAAAAATAGAATAATGATCTTCATGGCAGCTGCAAGTTGATATGTGGTAAGCAGCCACAGGAGGAATTGTCTCAAACTTGTATTGAAAGATTTATCACAGAAATAGTAACAGAGTACCATGCCATTGAGGAAATGACCCAATGTAAAGGAAGTGGCAAAATATTGTTTTTCACATTTAGTTTCAGCAGACAGAATTTATAGCTAGCGTTGAACAAGATT